GCCCCTTGGTGCGCATTGATTAGGCTGGTTGGTCCCTTTGGCACCTCAGGAAAAACGATTAGGGGCCGATTTGAGGGGTCAAAGGGCCCGAAGGATTGGCCGAGGTGGTATTGAGGCGTTTCGGCCCAGCGGACCGGACGCTCAAATGCCAGTCAAGGGCCTTTTGCGCCTGTTGGGCCCTCATGAGTTGATGAGGTTCTCTTTATCGATCAGGCACCACCAGTACCAAACAAACGGCTCCGTGTCGGCTTGAGCCTGAGGGCCCATTTTCCAGGCAGTGACAAAGGCGGAGCCAGCGATTTACATTGGTTAGAGCCTCTGAGTCAATGTGTGGACCCCTATGTCCAACAGCGACCCACAGTGCCTGACAAGGAATTATGTGTTGGCAAGGGGCTTCGAGTCGGCCAGGATCAGTGTTCGAGGGGGTCCAAAGGCCCCTCATGACCGACGATCAAGGACCAGATTGGGATGCCGAAGGGCCCGAAGGGCTCGCCGTGGGTCACATTGAGAACCCCGGCTCTACGGGCCGGGACCTGAAACGTCAATCAAAAAGCCTCTTACACCTATGAGAAACCCACTGGAACAATGTGAGCCTCTATTTCGGGTAGAGACCACCAACACCGAGCCGTCGGCTCCTTGCCCATCTGGACATGGAAGGCATAGAAATGACCGGGGTCAGCAATTTGCGTTGGTTGGGCCCCTGAAACAATGAGGGACCCGATGTCTGTCAGTGGCCCACAGTGCTTGATAGGGTGTCCTGTGTCGACAAGGTGCACCAAGTCGACCAGAGGAAGATTTTCTGAACATGGACAGGGAAGGAGCCCCGGGTGCCAGAGCGCCTGCTGCGCTGGTTGGGGCTCTCTGACAATGAAAGAAGATACGAGACCTTACGATGAGAGTCCACAATGAGGCGTTGGAAGGGCCCTGGATCAGTCAGGGGCTCCAGCGCCGAACGGGGGGGGGGGGGGGGGGGCTGCGTTATTCAACATGCGCTCAGATGAGGGGTCAAACAGACTCCCCGAAAAGTCCCAAGGTTTTTCCAAAAGGATTTCCGAGCAGCGCGGGCCTTTTGATGTAAAAATTAAACGTGCCTTGATAGGTCGCTGACCTATGGCAGGTCCGATTCAGACCATGGTTGTCAGCAAAGGGCAGTTCTAGGGATTCGTTCAACGTGATGCAACAACTGAGTGCTCAAGAAAGCCGTACATATCTGAGATAGTTTCTTGGCCAAAGCAATGAAATAATTGAATTTAAAATCGCAACCAATACCATTGACTCAGAGACAGGTGTGAATGCCAGAACAAGATTAATCTAATCCGCTTTTTCACTCGAGAGCTGTAGTTTCTGGTGCTCATTCCGAATTGATTCATGACAGGCACCGCAGCAGACATGTTCCATGACCTTTGAGATCATATTAGGTATGATCGGGATGATAATGATGGTGATGATGATGATGATCATCATCATCATCATTTGACCTAAGATGACCCAGGTCATTGTTTTTTGTGTTAGAAACACACAAATTAGCATAATCCCTGACGAATCCTTAGGCTGGACGCACAAACCTCATCATGAAACCTGCCCTAAACAACATTTTAGGCTTTCCATGTTCCTTAGGCTCAGGCAATGTCCGTAGTGGCTCATACGCAGTAAGTGATGTTCTTATCTAATACTCTGCGTCGAACTTTATAAACTTCCCGCTTAGCCGCCTGCATTGTTTGTTACGGCCTTTGACGTTGACCTGTATACGGGAGCTTGGATTCTTTATACTTTTGACATCTGTTATCGGCATTATCTGCGTAGATTGAGGTTTTTTCTGGATTCATGTCTCACATTTTTAAAGTACAATATTTTGCTACACCTTTCTGAACCCAGTCACTTTCAAGGGTGAGCGCAGCTCGGAATATTGAGTACCGCCAATGCAATCGGTGTTAAGCACCACATCATTTGAAGGAAATATTCCACATTCGTATGTTTCTGCAGCCTGCCCAGACAAGCGGGACGTCGCGAGGATTTGGGGTGAAATGAGAAAGTGAATATAAGGGAGGCCGGGGATGCGAATGCCAATAAAACAAATAAAATCACATACCAATATGCAAGAAGACCACGACAAAGGGCCAAAACATCGGCGCATAACGATCGTCGGGTGCACCACGCAGCATAGATTTACGAGACACCTTGCGGCAAGCTGAAGTTCTACAAGTGAGTGAACCCGTCCGCTATAGTGGCAGTTCTGTCACGGTCAGTTTGGCAGGGACTCCCAAGTCATACCTTCGATCATTCGTTCATTCGTTCGTTCGTTCAGGCAGCACTCCGTGGCGTAATCAAACGATAGCGTATTGAGGAACATTTTTGCTGAATAGTGGATTTGTGCTGTCCAAAGCAGTATTTTGCACTTGAAGCAACTGATTGTTACAAGTGATCTTTGTCCATCATGCCTATCTGATGCTTGCCTCAACATTCTCAAGTGTGGGGCATTCCCTTAAAAGGAACCTTTGAAACCAGGGATCAAGCGAAATATTTGCTGCCTCACCTAATGGTGTATCATCACACAGTCTGCAATGACATCCACGTGGTGAGATCAGAGCGCGCTTTAATGACATGCACGACATGTAGTATCGCTGTGCAAGTACAAATGATCACGCCCTAAAACTCGCGCTAAAGGAATATTTACGGAAGCAGGTTTTCTGTCAGACATGCATCATTAAATTTCACCAATACCTTGAATAACCCATAACGGGAGCGTTTCGCATTTGTATGGGGTTTTGAACTGAAATAGCCGTCTCGAAAACCTGTCGGTACAATCCAGAGCCCTGCCCTACCTAAGGCCTAGACCCGCTAGTTTCTGAGCTCTACGCCCGCGAAAATGGGGAGACTATTTCGGGGAAAGTATTTCAAGGTCACCTTGGCATTCATGACTTCATAATAACGCCGTTCAATTCCTGCCGTTCGACGGGTCATGCCATGATGAAGACCGATACAAATACAATGGTCGAGTCGTTCACGTCTGGTGTTCGTGGGCATTCAGCACACGTTAATTTCCAGATTTGACGGCCGTCAATTGGCTCTCAGTCAATATTGTGTAAGGTACAATAACGCAATCAAACAATGACGTATCGAGCAGCGTATTTACTAAACAGAGAAATATGTTGTCCAGAGCAGTTTTCCTGCTTAAAATATGCCAGTAGTCATCTAAGTGAGCTTGTCTCATCTTATCTGATGCCTGCTACAGTATTCTCAAGTGAGAAACACTCCCTTTAAGTGATCATCATAAGCTTCATTCTGTTTATTAGCAGCATCATTTGCAAACTTTCATCGTTTGGATCAAGCTTAGAAGACAAAGACCCACTTGTCACACCAGTCACAAAAAGACCGTCCTTGTCACACTCACGGCGCAGATTGATATGTGTCACAGATGCTGATGCCCACAAAAAAACGTTGGTAATGTTACTAAGCGAGAAAAGTCGATAATGCAAGCGCCGACATCGTAACTAAACATAGCGCTTATCGCTGCTCTGATCGCCTCTTTTCGCGCAGCGCTCGCGGCCTTCATCAGCTGCCCTACATCAAACCATAACGCGATCTCCATTCGACCAGACGGCCAATCTGGCAGCACTCAGTGCACCTGCAGACCAGTAGCGCCGCTTCCGGGCCGTACAAAGGCTTGCCCCCCGGCGAGCTCAACTCCCCGACGCCTGCCTGATCTACGACCGACTGCCGGGCGCTCGGGCAAGCCTGCCAAGTCGTCCCGCCTCCAGATGTCTTTGTACGCGCCAGCTTGTCCGGTGAGTGGCGTCGCGCCCGTACTCCTGGTGACTGCCCCACTGAGCGTCCTTTTTGGCCGGCAGCACGTGCGACACCCCTCCCCCTCCCCCGAGGCAGGAGAGAGGTCATCCTTTGTTGCGACAGGTGCAGCGCGTCGGGGAAGGCCTCCAGCGGCTGCGACGAGCAGTCTCATCCTGGATCCCGGTTGGTGTCGGAGACTTGGAATTAAGTCTCAGTTCGTCATTGGGCTTTTGGGTGTGCATGCCACGGACGTTGAACGGCGCGTTGACGACTTCAGTGTCGCACGCGTGCAGCCCAGAACATCTTGGGGCATGTCCACATGTCGCCAAAACTCCCATGTCTCCATGGGGATTGGCAATGAAAGCGAAATTATTCATGGGTTGGCTCAAAACAACTCCCACCCGCTTAACTGTTGACCAGCTTCGGATCAGCTCAGCGCACCGCGAGACTTAGCAGAAACAAATTGCATCCAGTGGAAGTCATTCCAAGCCTGCAGGCCTCACAGCTGCACGGAAGCCGAAGCTCCTGGCTCCGATCCTGGTCGCGTTCTACACCCAGAGCTCAGCTGGGTGGCGTGGCTGAGCGGTGGGTGTTGATCCACAGTCGCTGCTGCGCCATGCCGAGGCTCGGCCTGCAGCGCCAATGGCCATCGCTGCACTGATGATAGCCGGTGACACCCGCAGCTGTGGGCCTTAGTCCATGAGCCAAGCGGGTAAAAAGACCTAGTTTTCACGCTCGGGGGCGGAGTGAGTGGGAGAGGGAGAGGGGTGGGGGGTGGGGAGGGGCCCTGATGTGTTGCGGACCCGATTATGTTAATTAATCGGTAACTTTACATCACGGTTTCCTGCGCGGACCCGAGTCGGCTCAATAACAAAGGCCAGGCTGTCTCAAGACAGGGTCCTCCCCGCTCACGCCCGCGTGCACACGCACGCCCGAGCGCGACAGCACGACGCTGCGCCGCAAATCGTCGCACGCTCACGCCTAGCAGCTGTCCGCCGACCTCCGCCGGCTCCGTCGATGATGCAACGACGTCCGTTCGCGGCCCACGCGTCCGCGCCCGCTTGTGGGAAGGCCGCGTCTATAACCGTCGGGGCCGGCGGCGCGACGGGCTCTTGGCGCGTGGCCCGGTCACGTGGCTGCCGTCGTGTCGCGCTGCGCAGTGGGCCTTTGCGGGAACTTTGCGCGGCGAACGTCGAACCGCACCGCCGGCCGCCGCCCGCTCGCCAGTTGAAGAAGCGATCTCGAGCCGCGCGGACACGGAGCTGAGCCCCGCCAGAGGTGAGGGGCTTTGTGTCGGCAGGTGTTGGCCGTGTGAGGTGTCTGAGAGGTGACGGCTCGAGGTCGCTGCCCCCCTGCTTTATCCTAGTGATGTTCTGGCGACGGGGTTTGGAGCGAGAGACGTGCAGAGATCTATCGGGTAGCTTTTTGGGAAGGCCGAGTGCTAATCGCGTGTTTACTACCCCGGTTGATTTTTCAAGTTCACCGAATGCCAGTGGGAAGCGAGGTTATCGCTAGGTGCCATGTGTACAGTTATTCACTTTGTTTACATGCAAAGCAATGTGGCTCAGGCTCTTTGTGGCAAGAGGCACCACATGATTTTGACGGGTCAGGGACCTGTAATGTTCGACAGCTTCTTAGCCGTTGACACAGTCACGACAATTCATGACCGTTTCAAACCAGCTGATCGGGAATATTTTAGATGTTGAGTATCCAGCCTCGCACGTTTACAAGAGCTGGAGCCGGACAGCAGACAACTAACCGCAGCTCGGCACATACCAATTACTATATGGTCATACCTGATAGTGACGTACCAGCCAACGGCTGATGGACCGTTTTTTTAGTATTGCTCTTAACATCCTGTCAGGTGCAGTCGGGATGTGGTAGATCTCACCACCGCACGAGCCATCGTTAGCCTCTTTGGTCTCTCTTTGGTCCCAATATGTCGTATCAACATAGCCTCCTCCACAGAAGCCTCCAGAAGCCCCATCCACAATGAAAACAAAGAGACCTCAGCTGATTCTGCGCATCGGCCGCTCTCCCGTTCGCCCACAACACAAATGTTCAAACCGATCCTGCCATGTCTAGCCGTTTCCCGTCCGCAACACCCTGGGTCTTCGCAAGGTCGTCGGCCGACCAATTAGAGGTCACTCTTTGTTTGGCCCAGGGCGAACCCGCGGGCATTGACGCAGCACGTGGGCCGCCCTTCTGTGGAGTTGGCGGCCGCCCAACGCCTCATCAACAAACGTCCCAAATGCGTACTCGCACGCCAGTGGCGCCACAGCGGGATTCACGGCTCCGGCAGCCGTAGACAACCCTTCCCGTCGGACCCGAAAGGCCTCCTCTCCCCCGCGGACAGCCATGCTCGCGCGGCGCACCCAGCGCGGCGGCGGCCGGCCGCCCGGCGCGTCGAACGACGGAGTTGTTTTGGTTCGGCGCGCCAAGACGGCGGCGTCGCCGGCGGCCGTCGGCCGTCGCCGGGGTCGCGGGTCGGCGACGCGGCGACCGATTTTGAGCGACGAGGCCAGAAGGTGGCGACCGCAGACCCCGCTGACGTCACGACGGCGCAGTTCGGTGTCACCGGGAGGACGGCGACGCGGACGCGGACGCGGCGAGCACGTGACACGGGGCGGGGCAAGGGCGAGGCGTCAGTCGCCGCGGGCGCGATCGTCGGCGGCGCAGTCACCTGAATGCGGCGGTCAACGTCTACACGCCTCGCGCCGCCACAACAAACCGACATCCGCAGTCATGATCACGCAGTCGGAACAACCTGCTCTTGACGTCGGCCGGTCGGGGGCCCTGGTCTCCACGTGCGTTCTAGGAAACGGATGCGATCGGTAGTAAGGCTACGTCGTAATTTTCCTTTTGCGCGTCCATGTGGCGTTGGTGCACCTCAATGGCCGGCAGCACGTTTGCAAACATTTGCTTATTGGCCCAGCACATGTTTGCGTTCCCCCGCCGTGGGAACTTTCAGGCACATCCCGATGATCTCTGTGGCCATCCTTGCAGTCTTGCAGGGCAGAAACCCTCGTCCTAAATCTGTCCCCAATCTCGTGCGGTAACCTCCTCCGTTCTCGCGCTCTCTTTCCAAGTGCTCCCCTCTGTTGGCCCGTTTGTCCTCGCCGGATCCCGTGGTGCTCGCGCTCGGATGGACAGGCTGGCTTTGTCCGACCGGCGCCGCTGCAGGATGTCAGTGATCCCAGCCCTGGACGGCGGCCAGCGCCCGGTGTTTTCCTAGCAACAGCCGTCAGCCAAACTAATGGCCAAGCGGTGGCGCGAAGACCTGCGCAACAGTTGGCACTATCCGATGATCAGGGCGACCTTTTATCAGTCGAGACTGCTGCCGGGTCGTGGATAGCCTCTCACTGGTCAGCAGTATGTCTGCGCAACTCCTGGAAAAAGTGTGTCAGCGATTGCAACAAAATGCGTGTCAGCAGCATGGGCACATTGTTGAGATGCCCTGGATGTAGTGACTTTTTGGACCTCCGTAAAGCTCTGCTTCATTCGTTTGCATCGCGATCTTCGCTTTCCCTCCGTCTTGATCCTGCTTAAAGCATGTTTGAAAAGCAAAATAGCTCGAGCGGAATTACGCTTAAACACCCACCGCAGCACTCAACACGATTTCGTGACCCGGTCACGCCAATCGTCTACGCCGCGATGCCAATCAAAAGGCTGCTCACGGGAAATTCTCCTTTTCTTGGCCGTTTCACGGGAGCTGTGACGCAGTTATGTTGGTGTTGGAGGCGCTCAATGGCTGGAAATACCCAGCTGGTTTTGTAATGGTGCGAAGGCTGCCAGAACACTCCTCGCGCGAGAAACGTCTTGATTTTCTTGGTAGAACACGACAGTATTGCAACGTTGCGCTTGTAGTTGTTTGGGTCGAGGAGCAATCGAGCTCTTTGCCAACCCCAGATTAATGTGCTCGTCAAGCTCACCGCTACACTTTCGCCGTCCATCCGTCCAGCATCACCTGCATTCACTGTGATGCCGGTTATTTGGGTGCAGCGACAGCTAATGCGACCTTGTTGGAGTTTACTTTTGTGGTCCCTGCCCTGAGGCGTCATGTTTACCCAACGATGGGGTTCGCACCAGTCCCAATCATAAACATCCGTATACAGCGCTGAAACATCTAACCGCGGCGTAGGGTAGCGAAGGCTTTGACCTTTAAATCCCTGCACGTTTGACAGCCTTTAGAGTCTAGACAAGTCCGTCCCGCTCCATCCACCACTCCCCCAGCATCTCCAAAACTGACCACATCTCCGTCTCTGTGCTTGCAGGACCGGATCCGAGCAGACCCGTCTTGCCTCGAGCCGTCGTCGCCACCGTTTCGTCTTCATCACCGTCTCGCCTTCGCCACCCGCTCAGAGGCCTCACGATGCCGATCCAGGTTCTCCGCCCGTCGCCGGCGCCCGAGCCGGGCCTGCAGCGCGCGCTCGCCGACTGCATCACGCGCTCGGCGCCGCTCGACGAGCTGCGCATCCTGATCGCCTGCGGCGCCAAGGTCAACGCCCCGGTCACGCTCGGCCTGCGTCCGCTGCACTACGCCGTCTGGCAGCGCTACCCGGAGGCGGCGCGCTGGCTGCTGACCCGCGGCTGTGACGTGGACGCCGCCGACGACCTGGGCCACACGCCGCTGCACCTGTGCGCCGAGAAGGGCTACGGCGAGCTGGTGGCGCTGTTCCTCGAGTTCGGCGCGCGCGTCGACTTCACCGAGCTGCACGGCGGCGAGGTGGAGGAGCCGCTGCGCATGGCCATCAAGCACGGCCACTACGCCATCGCCGAGCAGCTGCTGCGCCACGGCGCCAACCCGAACGCGCCCTACTTCCTCGGGCCCGAGCTGTGTCTGCTGAAGCCGCTCGACCTGGAGTACGCCGAGCTGCTGCTGCGCTACGGCGCGGACGCCAACGCGCCCGACCGTGCCGGCATCAGTCAGCTGATGCGCGCGGCGCGACAGCCGAACGTGAGTCAGGGGGAGCGCGGGTCGGGCGCGCGGCTGGCTGGACGCGCGGGCTGGATAAGGGAGGTCTGGTGTGGAGTCAAAGGCGGAAGCTCTTACTTCCGAGTAACTTTCCCACCATGACTATTACCGAATGTGACTGACAAGGTGGCCTCTTCCAAACTCAACAGTGACGAAAGGTGACTGCTCCTATGACGGTCAGGTCTGCGCGGGCGTGTGTTTTGAAAACATGCCTAGTCATGATCTGGCAAGACCCCCAAAGTGTTAGTCATGGAAACGCCCATGATTAACGTAACGTATCAACGTAGTAACGTATCTCTCGCGAGAACACTCAGTAATGACATAAGTTGCACAAATGTCAAAGCGATTCGTCGAACGATCAGACGCCATCGCTTACAAACACGTGACGAACGAAGCCGCTTAGAATCTCTTCCGAGTTCACGACACAACACCAAGACCCTGCACCACTTCCCTCACCACCCTACCGCCGTTGCAGGGCCTGCCGGCCGTGCAGCTGTACATTAAGTACGGCGGTGACGTAAACGGCACGGCCGGCGCGCGCCACGACTTCCGCACGGTGCTCCACTACGCTGTGATGTCGGGCCAGCTCGAGACTGTGCGCTACCTGGTGCGCCACGGAGCCCGGGTCAACTTCCCCTGCGACTATGAGAAGCCCACGCCGCTCGATCTGGCCATCCTCAAGGGCGACGTGGCCATGGTGCGTCTGCTCATCAACCTCGGTGAGTGAGGGAGCGCCGCGGGCCGACACTGGGTTGGAGAAGAGTGCTGCTCTTGGGAGGGGGCGGATGATGGGCAGAACGGAAGATGTAACGTTTCATGACGGTGATGAGGGTGGGTTAAATACTGTTCTTCGTAGTGAATGAGACCTGATGTGGAGGTGTCACGCGGGAAACAAATACGACAGACGTGATGTGGAGGTGTCACGCGGGAAACAAACACGGCAGACGTGATGTGGAGGTGGCACGCGGGAAACAAACACGACAGACGTGATGTAGAGGAGTCACGCGGGAAACAAACACGGCAGACGTGATGTGGAGGTGTCACGCGGGAAACAAACACGACAGACGTGATGTGGAGGTGTCACGCGGGAAACAAAGATGACAGACGTGATGTGGAGGTGTCACGCGGGAAACAAACACGGCAGACGTGATGTGGAGGTGTCACGCGGGAAACAAATACGACAGACGTGATGTGGAGGTGTCACGCGGGAAACAAACACGACAGACGTGATGTGGAGGTGTCACGCGGGAAACAAAGATGACAGACGTGATGTGGAGGTGTCACGCGGGAAACAAAGACGGCAGACGTGACCACGGACTGCTGACCTCTTCGCTTCCTCCCCAGGAGCGGACGTTAACGCCCATTCGCCCATCATCGGCTCGCCGCTGCACGTGGCGTGCTCGGAGTATATCGAGAACCGGTCTTCGATCCTGCAGCTGCTGCTCGGGGCCGGTGCCGACCCCAACGTGGTGGTCAAGTCGGAGGACGGCTTCTTCCTGCGGCCCGTACTGGGCGAGTACCTGACCTCCAACCAGCAGAGCCTCTCCATCGAGGTCATCCAGCTGCTGCTTCAGCATGGCACCAGGGTGAGCCACCATATCGACCCGGCGGCAGTGTCGCCTTCCAGCCGTGCGAGAGCGTGTCTTCCTGCTCAGCAAAGCTCAGCCCTGTCCGTGCACCCGTTATGTTACTCGTCTCATAAAGATCATGTTTCGTACACTGCCGTCAAAAGTGTGGTGATTTCTTTTTGAGAACGAGTTATTTGGCATGCTGTCTTAGTAAATATGCAATGTCTCTTATCACTTTCTCATTCCTCTCAATATCCGGTGAAAATGAAGCAAAATATGTATGAGATAGTTGTGTAGTTGCCATATCCCGTGCCGCAGGCCATCATGTCAAGCTCCCACTCCTTCATATCGACATCGCACTCCTCCGCGACTCAGAACTCTGACTGCACTATGACAGCACGAAGTCACGCAGACCAGCCGTCTGACTCCGCCGTCCACTGGCAGGTGGTGCTGAAGAGCCAGTTCCGGGACCCGATGGGTCTGCTGAACTCGCTGCCGGACCTGCGGCACCTGCCAGGCCTGTTCGAGGTCCTCGCCTCCAGCGCGGACGCCTTCGACCCGCCGATACTGCGCCGCAGCCGCTCACTCTCCGAAGAGCAGCGCCGGCGCCTGCTGCTGCAGGCGCGCACGCCCCGCCCCCTGCTGCACGTGACGCGTGACGTCATCCGCCGTGCCATGCCCGGCCGGCTGTGCCAGGACGCCAAGCAGCTCGTGCTGCCGCACGAGCTGCACGAGTTTCTGCTGTTCTTGACGACGTGAGCGGGCTCGAGGCGCTTGGTGTTGCCGGCCGGTGCCGCCAGGGGCGCTGGTGTCGGCCGGAGGCGTTCTCTCCGACTCCGCGTCATTTTGGGCGGGCTGTGGTTAGTGCCGGTCTTACGTCGACCAGAGGGACGTGGCAGACGCCCGGCTTTTGTCCCCATAGCCCGATCACTGTAGTGCGCGACTTGATATTGATATTTATATCTTGTTGTTCCCTCTTGCACGCCCCGAACGTGGCGCGTTGACACAAAGCTAGTGCTTTCGTCTTGATAGGTATTTATTTTCATCACATCTGCATAGGGGTGATATTTTGTAGACTGTAGGCTTAAGGGCAGTTTGGTAACCCGAGCGAGCGAGATTCTTTAATGATTAAAATATTTCTACAGAATGACAAAACCGACCCCAGTATTTCGGGAATTCTGGTACCAAGTATGGGTAGCAATGCGTCAAACCGCACATACTTCAGTAGCCACCGTCTGTGATTATTGTTCCCTCTCCAAGTATCCACCGCTTGGAACTGGTTAATCCGGTCCGATTTTAACGCCGGAAACGGCTCGCTTGACTGCATCTGATTACCGGAAGACCACGCCAACCACATCGGTTTTGAGCACTGCATCTTCAAGTCTTTGCATTCCTGGAGCCGGACGAAACCAACCCAGGATTTCACAATGGCCTCCGGAAGGTCCGAAGGTCCAAATCACAGGTTCATGCTGCCAGCGTCAACCTTGGATAGAGTTTGCGATATTTCAACTGGCGCGTCGGGTTAGTTTGAGCAGAGTTGGCTGAGCCTGGGGCTACCAGCTCCGGTACCGCGACCGTGGCTCCGGCGCGGCTCCCAGCTCCGGTACAGGCACCGCCAGCCTGAACCACGTCAACGGAGCATTTGCGAGTCATGACTCGAACAAGATTGATGGTAAGGGCAGGGTCAGGTCATCTCCCGAGCCGCGAACCGTATATTTTTGTCCTCCCGCGCCCCGGCGGGTCCGGACCGTGTGGCTTGTTCGCTCGGCGCGCCTGACTTCTGAGCGCTGCGCCTCCATCAGCGACCAGCTGACCTGCTTGCGAGTGCGGCCGGAGAGGGCAGGGTCACGGGGTCAGCAGGTCACTGAACTGCGCCCCGCGAGCTCCTCACACGGCGCAGGAGTTACGAGTCCCTGTATTCTACTGCGAGACATCGGAGCGTTGGTCACCCACTCGTTGCTTTGATCTACGTGATGGCTGTTATCAAGATGGCAACAAGTGGACGGGATTACGACACCTCACTGAATTGCTGTCCACGCCCCAGTCCACCGCATCTTGTTTCCTCCTGCCATTTCTGCTCAATCGATGACGTGCCAGTTTCGCAGTTCTCTGGCTCGGCGTACCATTTTTGTATCAGCGACTTATTTATTATTACTGTCTTATGTTTGTCAGTTATACAAGGCGGATGCTTGTGTAATGTGATTAATATATTTTGTGAGATCATTCCCGGGTCTTGTGATGTGAGACATCGATCCCGCCGCGGCTCAAAACGGCTTTGGGTGCGAATCATGTTGAAGCTGGAAGTGTAACTAGGCCGCTTGCTGACGGACACAAAACGAGCACAGGAGTTTGTCTGTATCAACCTCAGGCGGACAGCGACCGCTTCCGTACGACGGTACGTCGACAGAGACAAGGCGACGATTTCTGATGATAGTGCTGGCGTCACACCACGTCCTCTCAGTTGCGATCACACGGCACCTTTTTACAAGTGCCTGGCTACCGTCCGTGCCGTCTAGCGATGGTGCTGGCACCTGTACAGGCGTAGGACAACCATTGGATGCTCGACACTGGGCACAGGCATTTTAGACGACTTGTTCATAGTGGTAAATGAGCCGACTCGAAAGGTGTTGCAATGTTGAAAGGCGTTCAAACGCATCTCACAGTAATCACACCTGCGTATCCGGGCGTGTAGGTCAGCATACAAGTGTGACATAAGCGTGGGCGGGTTAATTTATTGCATTAGGTATGGCCACACCACTCTCGTGCCCGATCGAAAGTCACTGAAACAACTCGTCCAGATATCACAATTATTCTGCATGGCTGCGAAGACAGCTTTCAGGTTGGCATCAGGTCGACACCGCATGAGGCGGCAGACCAATTCTCAGAGGCCTTTCACGACTAGCTATCTCTAACCGTTCTTCTTCGCTCAGAAATGAAGTGACAGAAATCGTGGCCGATGCCCATTCGGATGCAGTATAGCAATGAGCATACTTCAATCCCAGACATCATAGGTTCAATCGCAGGAAGCGCTCGAAGTGCACTCCGGAGACCAATTGAGCTGTCACCTTAACAGGCCGGGCAACGTGGCCACGTGAGAGAATATACCTGCAGATGTACATGCACGCGATGTAGTGTTGCGCTACAACATGCAACAAGTTCTTCGGCCTCATGGGCACAATTGCAGCCGATCAGATGGAGAAGGCCGTACAATAAGTGTGCCTCCGTCGACATCTAAAACATTTTGATATAAGGGGACAAGGTGGCGCAGTACCTGCAGTTGCGACGCGGTGTGTACTGTGTGTACCTACGTCAAATCGCAGGAGCTACTACGCATGCCCCTGGTAACAAAGAACGTCCCACAACATGCGCACGGCAGCTGTCGCGTAGGTGTACACAGGAAATACAGACCTTCTACGGACGGTCTGCTCGGCTCAACAATGTCCAGAACAAGTAAAACACGCGTAGGGAACACTGAAATGTCCTTAAAGCTCTGTGTCTGCACTTTCAGCACCGCTGGACTCGATGTCCGGGCCGGGCACGGGAAGATTTAAACACGTACCGGCCTCTGTCGGTAAAACGGACAACTTCTCATTCGCCGGCTTGGCGCTGGGCGGCGGTTCCACGACGACGAAACTCGGCACCTCATCCGGCGCGGCCACAGTCAGTTCAAAACAGGGATTATCACCGCCGACCCCACCATCTCCTCCGTTCACCTCCAGCGAGCCTTCTGCGTCCACCGAAACTCCAGGGACGTCATCCACCGAGAGCCTGACGTCACTGGAGACCGGGCTCTCGTAGCTAACGGTGGGCGGCGACAAGGTGCGCGCCTCCGAAACCGTCAGCGTGTCAAGGTTGGCTGAGCTATCGCTGCTGGCGTCCTCCACCGCATCCACCGCCGTCAGCGCGCTGTCCGCGCGGCGGGCAGCGAACGCATACCGGCCGACGCCGTCAGGCGGCCCCACCAGCTCTGGCGTCGGGTGCACTGCCGGAAGTGAGGACGCCGAGGACGAGGAGGACGAGGAGGAGACGCTGCTGCAGCACACGGACGACTGACGACCGAGCGCGGCCAGCCGGCGGCCGCGGCCACCGCCGCCGCCGCCCGGGCTGACCGCTGGCGGCGGTGGGCTCATGGTGCGTACCGGCCCGTATGTTGGCGACGGCGGTGACAGGAAGTTGGGTGAGCGGCGCGCGGGTGGCGAGCGTGGCACGCCATGCGGCGACGGCACGGTCAGGAACTGCGGCGAGGCGGGCCGCGGCGCGCAGCCGCCGTCCGGCCGCGCGGCACGCAGCGCGCCCGCCTCCACGCCGGGCACGAAGAGCAGCTCGGTCCTCTCGGCCGGCTCGCCCAGTCCGTCGGGCAGCAGCTCGTCCTCGAGACAGACGCTGGCCTGGCGCGAGAGCGGCGAGCGGCGGCGGCCGCGCGGCGTGACGGCCGCCTCCGAGCACGACGACCAGTCGTCGTCGGCCAGAAACACCGAGTCGGAGCCGATGCTGCGCGAGTCGAAGTCGGTGATGTCGGACGAGCTGACAGCCGAGCCGCAGCGCGGCCGCGGCAGGTCGAGGCGCGGCACGGTCAGCGGCGTCGGCGGCGCCTCGGCCTCGGCCGCCAGGCAGCGCAGGCTCGGCGACGGCGTCACGCTCGGCGTCGGCTGGATGACGTTGATGTCGACGCGCTGCCACCAGCTCTCTGGCACGCTGGCCTTCTCGTCGAAGCTGTAGGCGTAGCGCGGCGGGCCGCGCCGCCGCGGGTGGTGCACGCGCAGCTCCAGTTGGTGTCCGGCGTCCGCGCTGGAGCCGCCAGAGGAGAGCCGCGCGCGCCGCGTCAGCCGCTGCACCGAGCCGGGCGCTGAGCACGCACACTTGACCGCCAGCGAGTGTCGGCTGCCTCTGGCGGTGGCCAGCGAGTGGCGGCTGCTCCGCGCCGTGCCGGCCGGCGTCGACTCCAGGCTGAGGTGGCGCGCCGAACTGAGGCTTAGCCCGTCGGCCACAGAGCCGGCCAGGAAGGCGGTGTCCCACGGCTCGAGCAGGCTGCCCTCGCCGTCTTCGACGCTCGGGCACGGCGGGTACTTGCTGCGTCGCTTGCACTTGGACTTGTAGAGCAGCAGGAGGATGAGCAGCAGGAAGAAGCCGCCGAGTGAGGCAGCGATGTTGATGCCCGTCCAGGCGTTGTAGGTGTTGTAGTACTCGCGCCGCTCGAGCTCCGCCATGCCGAGCAGCGGCGGCGGCGGCCGCGCCTCGGCCGAGGACGAGGTGCGGGGCTGGGCTGCCGGGGCACAGAGGACACGGCATCAGCGACCGACTGAACGTCATCGACAGGTCGGTCAAGAGGCTTCGCTACAGGAGGGACGCGTGGCGCCCACTCCAGGAACGTCGTGCATTTCGTGAACATCGCGAATCGGCGTGAATGTCAGGGCCGGATAGTGACACGGCTTCCACGCTTGGGGATATATATGTATATATATATATATATATATATATATATATATATATATATATATATATATGCATATAGATCACTAGTGGCAGCGCTTCTTACATTCATAAACGCGACACAGACATAGTGTCAACACTGGCTGAATGTCAGAGAGCGAGCGTGGACCTGAGCCGATCAGACCAGACACGACCAGACTCCTCGCCGGGCCCGGACACTTGGCTATAGAAGCACGGTGCATTTCACGGAGGGATCGGCGCGAGCATGCTACCTCACGTGCAAAAATAGGAATGTCGACTCAAACACAAATACGTTTTCGAAGGGCTCGGGCTCAACCATTACGAGCATCTGGGACGCGGCCTCGGTGCCCAAACCAATCGACATCCATCAAGACCCGGCTCAGCCTGAGTCCACGTGAGCTGACTCACGACTGCGGGCAAGTGCCCAATAACGACCCGCACTTAGGAAGATGGGGTGCAGACGTGATCTTCAGACCAATTTCACGACTCGACATGAACCATTTATATCCCTGAATCCCGATCATGTTAAAATCTGTCCACGAGGGCTGAGTGGATCAGGACGCGAACGTCGACGCCGGGACTTCACGGCGTGCGTGCTTGTAGATCATGATGTGGAACATGTTGACTCAGCCTTGATTCAGTGTCAACACGCTATAAACCAGACTCGAACCTGTTTCCAATGTACGGTAAATCGGGACATGAATAATAAAACAGGGGACCTGTGGAATCAGCAGAGCACACAGGCGCAAAGGCTATGACCAGACTCAGATTTCGGCACCGGTGAGGCTAACGGCAACGTCTGGTTGCAAACAAGGCTTTGCAAATATACAAAAGTTAATCGGATATATTAGGTCCAGAGACAGCCAGCAGACGATAGGGCGCTGGACCTGTCTCTGACTTCTCTGAACCTGTCTCTGTCTCTGTCTCTGTCTCTGTCTCTGTCTCTGTCTCTCTGTCTCTCTGTCTCTCTGTCTCTCTGTCTGTCTCTCTCTCTCCCCCTCTCTCTCTCTCTCTCTCCCCTCTCTCTCTCTCTCTCTCTCTTTCTCCCTCAGTTCTCTCTCTCTCTCTCTCTCTCTCTCTCTCTCTCTCTCTCTCTCTCTCTCTCTCTCTCTTCTCTCTCTCTCCTCTCTCTCTCTCTCTCTCTCTCTCTCTCTCTCTCTCTCTCTCTCTCTCTCTCTCTTCTCTCTCTCTCTCTCTCTCTCTCTCTCTCTCTCTCTCTCTCTCTCTCTCTCTCTCTCTCTCTCTCTCTCTCTCTCTCTCTCTCACCCCCCCCTCTCTCTCTCTCTCTCTCTCTCTCTCTCTCTCTCTGTCTCTCTCTTCCTTCTCGTTTGGCTGAATTACCCACTACTGCCGGGTCCTTATGCTTTTCCACAATGACGGGAGGCATGGGGGTCGGGGGGGGGGGGGGGGTATTTCGGTTTAGACCACAGGCTAGAAAAAGATGACGTGGATTAGCATTTCCTAAGCCTGAAATGTTTGACATTGGTGAAGTTCCTAGTGTAATCCCAGCGGTATTGTTAGCACGTGGTGTATTAAGGAGATGCTCGTGTCAGGTTCGTTTATGGAGCACAGATCAACGGCGCAAATGTTAGAAATACCACTGGCGGTGTAAGCCATAACCGCTTCTGTTTAGGCCGACTGAACAAACGTCGGCTCCGATTCTGGAACAAAGGAAGTCTGCAGCCAAAAAAAGCTTCGCAAATGCGTAAGCAAATCATTTGCTTACCAATGTTTGCGACCCACGAAATGATGACGCCAAAAGCTAAAATTCG